AAAAAATATAACGTGAATAGTTCAATGAAACCACTCTGTAGTGTCTAATTTTTACAGCGTAACTCTGAAATAGTCTACAGATGAAATATGCGTTACTTACAAGTGCTGAATTCGCCATACTTATCATCATCTTTCTGTTCAATCATCTGCCATATTTCCTATCCTTTTCGACGTTTAGAGAGTTTAGTCCTAACAACCCGATAAATTAAAATGTTATTGTACAAAAATAAAATCAAAAATTGGTACACGCGTGTAATAGACTTTCCGGACCTCCTTCGTAACATTCGATGAAGCTAGGAATATCTGAAGACGACGTACTCACGAGCAGGTCGCGTGGATATTTATTCTTAAATCTTAAATTTCGCATCGTAAATCGTTTGCTCAAGAAGGAATGAGTACCCTGATTTCCATGCTCGGTTTGTACAGTCCATGCTAACAATGACTGTATTATAGCTGCTTCTTATTCAAACAATACCGGTTCGAATCCAGATCAACTTAACTGAATCGTGTATAGGGAAACATCTGCGCAGTTGCTGCCTCTTACAAAAGCGAGCGAGCGAACAGACTTTCATGATTCACCGACGCTGGGTTCCTGGTAGCTACAAAGTTTCCACAAGGACGTAACTATCACAGTGATCACGAGCAGGAGGCTGGGAATTGAACACAACGATCCCAGCGCCGCTGCCAAGCCTGGAAGCATCCCTGGAAATCTTTCTTTGTCAGCCTGTCAAGCACCATCTGCGATTCTGCCTGAATCTCTTCTATCGTCTCAAATCTCCTTCCCTTTAGCTGAATTTTCATCTTTGGGAAGAGGAAGAAGTCACACGGAGCTTAGAAAGGAAGTTGGGGTCGGTTCTTGCAAGATCTTTGAGCTCCTGACAAACGAGAAGTCGATTCTGCTTCTGGTCCTCAGACAGGAGCCTTGGCACAAACTTGGCTGCGATGCGTCGCATGTGGATTTCTTCCTTTAGAATCAGCTGACAGGTCCCATAGTCTATCCCAACAATGTCGCACAAGTCGTTGATGGTACGACGTCGATCTTCGTAACTTTTTCGGGCGTTGTGCTCGAAGATGGTCGTCCAGAACGCTCGTCATCATCGACAGAGGTTCGGCCGGCCCTTTTTAAAACGTGAATGCCACACAAAAGTTTGCGGACTCCCCAAATGTTTGCTTTAGCATTTCATAGGTTTCCTTAGCCGTTTTGGCGAGTCTTTGGCAAAATTTGATGCACACGCCATTCCGAAATCGCAGGAGGGTCGGTGTAATGCACTACCAAAACGCCCGTAACTAAGAAACAAATGCTAATTCGATGATGCCGGCTGGCACACTGATTCACT